TAAGAAAGATTTAATCTTTGAGAGAGAGATATTTTTGTTCTTCTTGGAAAGGATTTTCCCTGCTAGTTAATTAAGTGACAAGTGTCAGGGTGAGAGGTTCTGATTTCCCGCAGGTGCCCACAAAACTGGATGTAGAGAGTAGGATGTATTTCCCAAACACAAGACAGACTGGGAAAGTCCCTGTCCTTCTTCCTGGCATACAGCAACCTCCAGCTGGGTCTGTTTGCTTTTTAGCTTGAAAAGTCAATAACTGTGAACTCTCACTGATGTCCAGGCCATTGTAGTAAACAATAAACGGAGGGGGAGACTTCTGACAGCTGGGAGGAAATTGTAGATGGTGTGAGTGCAGCCTAAGGCTGAGAGCAGACCCACATCCTGCCCTAGCAGGGAGAAGTGTCCCTTTCTAAAACCTGCCAGAAGCAAACAATGCAATGCCTGCCACAGTAGCTTATTTCCTTGTATTAGATCCACTCAGAGCTTGAGTAACACTTGTCTTTGTTCTTCCTGAGCTAAGGGTGGAGAAATTAGAAACTTACCTGGAGACCCCCATACAGCTCATATCTTCCTGTGGCTTAATGTCCCTCAGTAGAAAACAGTATTTCTTTATCCTTTTTGTCAGCAATACCTTTCAGATGTTCAGCATTTCAGTTTAAGGATCACATTCATATGTATTGCTTCATTTGATTCTGTGACTATCTTGTGCAGCATTATTTTTCATGATAATCATCTTTCACTTGTACTATTGAAATAGTCTTCAAACTTTTTGCCAGTTCTTCTCATGTCCAGTCTATTTACCTACCATGTTACTTCTAGAACATTATCTGCTTAAATAACTTAGCTATTCCCCCAACCACTACAGGGTAAAATCTGGTCTTTAAGGTGACCAGAAATACCCGTTGGTCTCAGAGTAACCATCTAGCTTTATTTCACTGCCCCTCTCCTCAAAAGCTATACTCTATCTCTTTACAGTCTCCAAAAAAATATGCTTTCTTTCACAATTTATGGTCATGACAGCATAGAGGTCAATGGTATAGAGGTTTAATAGTAGAAACTCTGGACTGTCTGAACTAAACACCTGTCACCACCACTTATATAACCTCAGGTAAGTTATTTAACCCCTCTATGTCTCATCTGTACAATGGGGAACATTTCAGGACCTTCTTTCAGGATGACTCAAGGAATAATTGAGGTATTTATATAAAGTGCTTAACTTGGTGCCTTGAATTCTTAGTACCCAATGCAATAAGCTATTATTATTTGCTCTCTATTGTAATGTTCTTCTCTTCTTTACATACCTGCTAAGTCTCTATTCTCAGTCCTGGGTGTTCACTGGTAGGCCTGATGCTGAAGCTGAAACTCCAATACTTTGGCCACCTGATGCGAAGAGCTGACTCATTTGAAAAGACGCTGATGCTGGGAAAGATCGAGGGCAGGAGGAGAAGGGGGCGACAGAGGATGAGATTGTTGGATGGCATCACCGATTCGATGGACTTGGGTTTGGGTGGACTCCAGGAGTTGGTGATGGACAGGGAGGCCTGGCGTGCTGTGGTTCATGGGGTCGCAAGAGTCAGACATGACTGAGCGACTGAACTGACTGACTGAAGTCTCCATTCATCTTTTAACAGTCTCCTTTGCAAAAAAAAATCCTCCAAACTTCAGAGCTTGAGTTTATTCTGTGCTTTCTTCAAATTTTGTATAAACAAGTTTGTAATAATGACACTCAACTAAAAATCTTTCTCCTGAGAGTGTGAGTTCCTAAAATCACTGACTATTTCTGATTTCTACTGAGGTCACTAGAACTTAGCACAATGTCTAGCACATAGATTACAGTAAATATTTGTAAAGTAAATATCTATTTTGCAATGTAGAAACTCATGAATTAGCATCCAAATTATTAATTCTGCTAACTGGTCTACTTGCTTCCACGCTCCTCTTCAATTCATTCTCCCTACTAGCCAGAATAATCAGACAGTGCCCATCACCTGTGTCAATTCCTGCAGTAGATTTCCATGGCATGTTGGTAAGGTCCAGCCTCTGGACCATGGCTTACAAATCTTTGCAAGACCTGGCCTCCACCTCCCCATCTCTACTTCATGTTATTCTCTCCTTGTTCGCATTTCTCTATCCATGCTGACCCCTTTTTGCCCCTTCCCAGTTTGGATAAAGAATGTTTTCATTTTTTTATCTAACCTCTATTTTCTGTATACCTTTTGCTCTTACCTCTATTTGGTATATGTTTCTTAAGCTTTTCTCATTTCTTATTCCTTCTCAGCCATCAAATCTCATTTCAGATATCACTTGTTCAAGGAAGACTTTCTTGGGTACCTTGGCTAAATGTGCCCTTTGCTATTCAGTTTCTTTTATATCAGTTGTCAATTTTTTTTCATGATATGGGTGAATCTAGAATTATTTATATATTTTCTGACTCTTTTTTTCTACTGCAGTGAAAGCTCCACCAGGGTGGGGACCCTGTTTGCTTGCTCATCATACTAACAGCAGTTCTTCAAACAGTACCTGTCCCAGAGCAGGAGCTCAAAAGATATGTATTAAATAAGTGAATAAATAAAAATTAAATTATTTTAGAATAAAGCTCTTTCACATCACCAGAATCATCCAGGAATGACAGGTCCTAGAATAATAGAGTTTAATGCTTTGTGTATGTCACAGAAAGAGGGTGGAAATTTGTCAAGGTATCATGATGTACCAGTCTTTGCCTCCCATAGTGAAAAATATGTTATGAAAAGCTTTTCCAAACACTCTGAAATATCAAAATTCCTAAGAAAGCAAGAAATCATAATTAAAGAAGTAAATAAATGTGAGATGCTTTGACAGATTAATAGTCTAGTCACAAAACCAAAAAGACCTGGTTTTAATAGAAAAAGGTAGCAGTGAGGTTTGCAGCAGCTCCCACTGTTGTGGAGGAAAAAAAAAAATTGGACAGAGTGAGTTTTCCTGGAAGGAAATGTATGAAATTAATATTATGTTTTGTTATCTACTGTGTATAATGTAACAATAAAAAATATTTGCATAGCACTTTACAGTTTAGAACTACCTCTGTTTACATAGTCTATCTCATTTGATAAGACAATTGAGTGATAGGTTAGCATGGTAAAAAGTCCACATGATCTAGTGTCAAGAAACTAGCTCCATTACTAGGAATCCGTTTCCTTTTGGTAAAATTAAGGTGTTAGTCTAGGTTGTATCAAATCTTATTCAGCTCATCTATTGAAGCTATTTATATTCAACTCATGACAAATCAGGCTTTTCTTTGGCCTAGGTCCAATATATCAACTCCTATTAAGTCTTCATTCATGTTTCTAAAATCAAATTATTTAAGTGATCACTATCTTGGGTGTCCAGGTAAGCAAAGAAGCCCCTGGTCCAATTTTGGGTGACCTTTTCCCCCTTTTAATTAATTAGTCCCTCCCCTCTGATACCGTTTTTGATTGACCCATCATTCTGGGCCTACCTTCTCTGGCTTCCATCATTTTGCACTGCACTGTAGTTCCTTCCACAACATCACAAGGGATGGCTGCCAGCTTCACAGAGAAATTCGTGTGTTCTATGTTCAAAGAAAAGTTGCCCAGTTGTTAATCTAATACATTTTTCTATCTTCATGGGAGAAAACCAAAGATCTTTTCCTGTAATTTAAATGTCTCTTCTGGAGACAGTGGTCTTTCCACCCTTTTATATTTCTCAGCCATCTCTTTGTTCTGATAGCCATAGACAGGGCTTGGGACACAGATGGGCTCAGTGAGGAGAGGCCGAGAGCCACATGTGTGGCCGGGGCATTCCTCTTTACCACTTTCCCTTTAATATTCTAGAGTCCCTTTGCATCTCACTGTAACCCATCTGTTTTTCATCTTCATCACCTGAACAATTAGATGCCTCAGCTTCTCACACTTAAGGCACAGTTCACTATATCTTATGATCAGGAAACTTTCTGCTTTCAAAGTGAAAGCTGTTCAGTTTTGACATAGCAATTAATTACTACTTCACCTCATAGCTTTCCTATATGGAGAAGATCCCTCTATAACTCTGATGTGAGTGTTTGAGCTGCAGCTACAAGATGTGAAACACCTGCATGATTCTTTGAAGTATTTGATCCATCACATTGTATACAAAAGATACTAATTGTCCACATGTTTAGAACCACCTGCAGGGTTAGATATTCTTATGTTCACTGTGAACCCTGGTAACATGAAAGGCAAGCTACATATTTTTCTTCTATGTTTCTCTGTTTCTCAATATTTCAAAATTTTAGTTTGTACACCTCAAATTGAATAAGACATAATAAGATAAAAATCTACTTTTAAATAAGAATAGGTGTCTGTATTTGTTCCTTTATTCCCTGTTCTTGTCTTCAAGCTGCTGTTTTGAAGCTTTTTGCAGGAGATATGCATGTACAAAAGAGATTGTCAGTGCTTGGCTGAATCTTATTCTTAGTAAGAGTTCTGGAAAAGTATTCCACAGTCAGGCTGATTACAGATGTAGCTAATCTATTTTCCCTAAGCTAGTTTTCTATGCTGCCAGGCGTGTAACTGCTTGTCTTCCAGCTATTCCTTCCCCACATCCCTGTGTGGATGTGACAACCTAGAAAGCAATTTCTGCAAATCTCTGCCTGGAAACAGTGATTCTGCCCGCACCCTTTTGGAAACAGTGAGGATCAGATTTTGGACCATGGATGTTATGATACTTCTAACCCGAAAAAGAAGGACGTTAAAAGTAAGCCCCAAAGTAAGCCCACAAACTCTTGCTGGCCCATTTCCTTCCAGGAGGCAAATTTCCTTGACATTGTTTTTACAGACAAATGAATAAACCCGTGTTTTGAAGCGTTGTACACTTCTTATTTCCTTTCCTGGAAGTTTGAGACCTGAGACAGCCTTAGAGACAGTAAGCAAGTTTATATGTTCTGTATGTCTATTTTGCAGGAGGATTTTTCTGCTCGTTCACTTTGCATTGTTGCGTCAGTCCTTTCTTCCTTATCTCTTGCAGAGGATGGAGAGCCAGAAGGAGGCTGAGAGGAGCTGGTATTACAGACCTGCTATCTGATTGGCTGGACGGTCGCTGCTGGGCTATAAAAGAGACCCCTACAGGCTTGGGAGGGAGATGCTCAGAGGATTCTGACAGTATCTTTACCGGAGAAAAGGCGAAGTGCGCTCAGAACAGAAGCCACAGCTCCTCCTGCGGCACTTCTTTCCTGTCGTGAATCCCACACTACACAAGATGTGCAAAGGACTTGCGGGTCTGCCGGCTTCTTGCTTAAGGAGGTAAGATTATTTTCAGCCATTGAACCAGACTGTGTTAAACTTTCAAATAGACTTTAAGTTATTTGCATGTTCTACTTACTAACCTGGTTCTTTGGATTTAGAAACAATGTGATGCAGAAATCTTCGACCTCCTAGCTTTCCTTTAAAACTAGCAAGAAATTGTGACTTAGGAAGTGTTCACTCCAGATTTTGGCATCCTATATGTTGTTTTCTATGACCTTGATTTTGAAGACTCTTCTAATCCTCTAACCAAGCTAGTTCTAATTAAGGACTGATATGAGGTTTTGGACTATGAACAGTGGTCTATAATATTGCTACCTGTGATTACTGCTATTTGACTATCACTGAGGCACATGGAATCATGGGTCTGGGCTTTCTGATGGTATATTAAATCTCACTTTGGGGAGGATGTTCCAGACTGAAGTTTAGCTACATCACCAGAAAGGCACTGTGCTGTTTGTGTGATGCTCCAGTATCTTTCACTCTGTTCTTCAAAGCAAATGCTACAGTAAGATAAGAGTCTCAAAACTAGATCTCCCTTATCTCTTTCCCTAGTCTAGTTCTGGAAATGCCATGTGGTTGTCAAGTACTGATCATAACCAATCAGCTAAGGGTTCTGTGGAAAGTCTCACCTTAAAGACATTGTTTTATCAATTTACTGTCTCTTGATTAGTAAACAAACTTAAAGATGTGCAGCTGCTCCTATGTCTTTGCCTTTGTCAAAAAAAGTACTAATAAATGCTTTCATAGGATGTTCATATATTAGCTAGCTGAAAAAAACACAAAACTAATGTCTTTTACATGACTTAACCTTAAAGTTAAAGGTATAAAGTCATTTTGTAGGTGTACTTCCCCTTTTCATGTTCCTCTGCAAATAGAAATCACCTTAAATTTTAACTTAGAATTATCTCAGAAAGCACACTTTTTAATACAATCCTAAAGAGTTTACCTCCTGTCATTCAGCAACACGAAAAAAATGTTCTTTTCCCCCCATTCTTTTGTGGCTGCTTTCAAATGAAGCAGGAGGATCTGGCAGAGAGTGCTTATGAAAACAGTGGCTCTGACCTTCATCATTAATTTCCTGAATTGAATAGAGCAAATCAATCCAAGCTTCAGTTAACTCAGATATAAAATTAATCGTGCAAAACACAGGAATGTCAGGTGAAAGTTTTGCTCTGGTAAATATTTTAGGAGACAGATAAGTAATTGCCCTAAAGCTTTACTCTCAGGAGCTAAGAGGCTAACCTGGGGAGATAAAGTGTATGTCAGCAGGGGGCGCTGCTCTCCCCTCTGCTCACTGCTGGACTGTGAATCATCTTATCCAGCACCTTCATTCTCACACCGGTGCCCGAGGCTCCGGAGGGAACGGGAAAGGCTCAAGGTCACATAGGTGGTGGGTGGTGGAGTGCAGATCACATCTAGATTTCTTACTTCCGAGGTCGCTGGAGTCATTTTGGTTTTTATTTCTTTGGTTCTATTGTGTTATAAGGACAAGTGCAATGTTCTTGCTAAGCATGCTTCCAGGTCTTCTTGAAATGACTCTGTGTTGGTCAATAACTGTCAGATCTCAGCCAGACCTGGCACATGGAAATATGAGATCGCAATATGCTTACATCATCACCTTAGGCTTCATGCTTAGATTTTGCTATTGTTAAGAAAGACTTTGTATCCCATGAGCAGTGGAGGGACCAGAGAAAGGAGAACAATCTTGGAGTGGGGGAAGAAAAAATACTGTTTTAAGGGCAACACAAGAACATAATGGATTTCAAACTTCCTGGAGAAATGCACATAGCTAAGGCACTAATATATTAGTAGCCATCCTAAAATGTCCTTTTATCCTTGTGGCTTTATTTTCCTCTCTCTAAGTAGAGACATCTAGTCATTCAATTAGTCATTCATTTCTTTCAAAATGACATTTTTCACTTTAGAACCATGTCTCCGCTTTTGTAGAAAAGGAGATCCAAGCAAAAGAACAAACAAAGAGTGAGCAAGTTGAGCTAAAAGCTTATTAGAGGCCCCCCTTTTTTAGTAAGTCGTGTGCACTGCCATGCCCTAGCTACCTCTTAATCAGTGGCCATAACCTGGAGGCTTTGCTCTAGTCACGAGCTTCAGAGACGACTCTTACACGCTTCTCCTTGTCATTGTTTTCCAGTCCCAGTGTCCTTTATCGTATAAATATCCTTAGAGTGTAGATATTTCAAGGGAAAGCAGGAGAGTCTTTCCAGCAAGCCTGCAGCAGATCAGGTTTCAGCCTGAGCTTTTGTGCTAACCCCCTCAGTCCCTCCTGCTCTCTGCTGGAGCCGCTCGCATCCCTGTATATCCCATCACGTAACTTGCTCACCACATTCAGGCTGAAATGGAACAAACCTTTAATTCCTGAGGTGCTGCTCCATTCCTTTCCTAACAATGAGGCAGAGGGAAATAGCAACCACCCTCCAGAAGGTGGCATGCAACAACCAGATGCCATATTTCACGGTTCCCTGCTTTTCAATTTCTAAAACTTAGAAAACCGTCAAGTTTTCATGATGTTTCTACTGAGGATACCTAAGTGTTCCATTGGTCAAAATGACAGGGTTACAGGTGGACTGAAGGGTCAGAAATCCAGTTACTGATGAAGGAGGCTCAGCTCCAAGTTTTGCAGTGAGTCATAGGAAGAAGCAGAGGTGGAATCTCCTTTTCCTGAGAGTTTCTGCCAGCCTCAACTCCTATTTCCTAAATAAACTGCCTCTGCCTCTTTACTAGTAATGGACCCTTTGAACTGTCCCATTAAGCTATCTTTTTAAAAGAACTGAGTGTCATTATTCTGTTTCCCCCCCTTCTCGTGTGCAGTGCCAAAGATATGAAGCATCGGCTAGGTTTCCTGCTGCAGAAGTCAGATTCCTGTGAACATAATTCTTCACACAGCAAGAAGGACAAAGTGGTGATTTGCCAGAGGTAAGAGAAAAGGCCTATCTGATGACAGAGATGCTCTGTGAGGGAAAAAGAAGCTATGTGTCCCTAGTTAACCTAGATTTGGATCATGAAGGCCTTCTTCATGGATCTTCTTCACGAAGATCATGATTGCATTTGAAATTTCCATACATCTAGTGGAAAGATTGCCCTATTCAACAACAGGTCTCATTGTTATGATGAAAAATAAAATCTCTGCATTTTATTCAAAATCGTACATGTTTTGCCCCTATTTTATACCTTAGCATTCAAATTATTCTTTTTCTCTAATGTCTTTAGGGTGAGCCATGAGGAAGTAAAAAAATGGGCTGAATCACTGGAAAACCTGATAAGTCATGAATGTAAGTATGACAGCTTCCCACCATCCACCACTCCCCAAGATGAAGATAAAGCATGCTGGATAGACAAGTTATTTCATATTACACTTGATATGATAGGAATTGCAGAAAGGCTTGGGTTTTTCCTAAATTTCAGGCTCAGAAAAATTAGTCCCCTTAAAATTTTTCCCCTAGATCTTTATGATATACAATGGAAAGCTCATACATAGTCCATGTGGAAAACCATCTTTCTCACCACATCAAAAAAGGGCAGAGGAAAAACTCCAAATAGTTAGATTTCTTTCAGAATTGACCTCAGTTTCTCTTCCCAAACTCACTTTGGCAACTAAGGGCAGCATAGATATCTCAGAAGCATAAAATGTTCCCGAAAGAAACTTCAAACCATGAGCAAGAAACACTCGGTATAAATGTTATCCAGCAGATATCAAACATAGATTGAAATTATCTGACCCTCAGTAATCCCTCCAACAGAGGAGACAGGGAACTATTTGAACCAATGCTTTGTTCCCTCAAGTACCCCAGCTTTATACAGTGTCCACCAGTGTGATGACAGCTCTGGTTCTTTCTCCTCTGTCACAGGTGGGCTGGCAGCTTTCAAAGCTTTCTTGAAGTCTGAGTACAGTGAGGAGAACATTGACTTCTGGATCAGCTGTGAAGAATACAAGAAAATCAAATCACCCTCTAAACTAAGTCCCAAGGCCAAAAAGATCTATAATGAATTCATCTCAGTCCAGGCAACCAAAGAGGTAGGTATACATGGAAGAGAACTGTATCGATCTTAAAGAATCCTTCTAGACATTCAGTAACATGGATCCTTAGATGATGTGATTTAAAGCTGCGGCAGTGGAGCTGGTTGTTATAATCTTGACCGCCTCAAATAATTTTGTTAAGTAAAAAGCTCTTCGTCTAGATGACTAAGATTATCTCCATTCGTGCATTTTTTTTTTAATGAATCTTCCCAGTTTATGAGAAATAATGGGAGTTATTTCCTTGGGTTCTCTCATATGTGCCAGGGTGGAGCCAAGTGTCCTTTTATTCACTCCTGAGGTATAGAGGGTGTGCCCTCGTACAAAGCTCACAACCTCCCCTCCTTACGGGGCAAAACGTGTAACGGACCTTTGGCCTCTGCCCCCCAGGTAAACCTGGACTCTTGCACCAGGGAGGAGACGAGCCGGAACATGCTGGAGCCCACGATAACTTGCTTCGATGAGGCTCAGAAGAAGATTTTCAACCTGATGGAAAAGGATTCATACCGCCGCTTCCTCAAATCCCGATTCTACCTTGACTTGGTCAGCCTTTCCAGCTGTGGGTCAGAGAAGCAGAAAGGAGCAAAGAGCTCCACGGACTGCCCTTCCCTGGTCCGCCAGTGCGCCTAGCTCTCACTCAGCAGTGGGAGGCTGAGGTGCCAAGACTCTGTGCCCGGAAAACCTGAGGCCACATGTTGACCTTCATTAAGCACCAGTGCTTTTTCCACCTTGCAGTCTAGTGTTCACGCTGCTGGCTATGTGTGAGTCACTCCCATACAAAAACTAGGTTACATTTTGGTGTTCATCAGGGCAGGACCTCATCCCAGTCCAGTTGTCTCAGATTTCTTTTCCTGTGCCATGTGAGCAGATATCTGGATAATGGCCTTGTGGGTCTGGATTCAAAGACTTGGCCGTTCTCTCCTGCCAACAGTGTGACCTCAGATTGGTTGGTGAGCAGTTGGTACATGTCACGTGACATCCACAGGCACATGTGTTCTGTTAACCAGCTTTGAGATGTTTAGATGGGGTTGATCTGTTTTATGTATCTCTGTGTGTGCATGTGTGTGTGTATATATGTATATGTATATATACACATATATATACATACCTGCAGCCTGTATATATGTATGCATGTATACATACATATATATTTCTGCAAGAATAGACAAGAGAGACCCTAGGTGCTCATAACTAGACTCTGTGAACATACTTACATGCATGTTCTGATCCCCTGTCTTTCACTCTGCAACTGAACAGGGCAAAATAAACCAGCTGCCCTGCAGGCTACAAAAGGAATGCTAACCTGTGGAAAGTTGATTCTGTAAAACTCCGTGAGTCTTGCTGGAGAAGCATGGACTTCATGCTTCATTTAACCACCGACAGCTTCCAAGTTGGATAGTATTCTAAGGAGCGAACATAAAAAGTGTTGTGCCTGTTTGACACAGTGCTGTCTTTGGCTGGCTGTCACTAGCGGCACTTTTGAGCCACCAGGCTGCTGGCCTCCCCTTCTTTGCCTGGGTGCTTGATGCATGATAGCAGCCAGGTTGGTGTGGAGTTGGAGGAGGAGTTCATTCATTCAGTTCATGAATGAAGAAACATAGGTAAAGCCTTGCCAGCTCTACCTACTATAGGATGCTGGTTTAGTACGGGCACAGAATTTAAAGGTTAATGTTCTTATCCCCTACTCTTTTTTCCTCTCTTGATTAAGGTGCTCTTCTCATTTTGTTTTTCCCTGAGAACTTTAGCCATTACATGAGGCTCCTTAATTCATTGCGGTTGTTCCCCCCCCCCCCATAATGGCTCTAGGCTATATACTTGTTCCTTATAAACCAGCATCAGGGGAAAGATTACATTTTATAAGGGGTGGACATGTTTTCACAAACTGAAAAGCCCGCATAAATTTCTCTTTTGAAGATGGAATCTGGCTCATTGAATCCCAAACATCAGGACTAACAGGGGCTGAAAGCATTTCATTTTAGGCTCTGAGATGAAATGAGAGAGAAAAGGGATTAAAAAAAAAGGATATCAATTTTAAACTACTGTTTAGAATTTTCCAAGGCACATGAAATACTTGAAAATGTCTCATTTATGTTATTTATGATGTTTTGTATAATGTTTTTATTATTGTATTGTTTTATAAACGGAGGTGCAAGATATCACCTGAATTATTAATGAATGGCCAGGAAGTAATTTTCTTCTCATTCTTCTAAAATTACTGCCTTTGAAGTGCACACATATGCATGCATGAACACTGCACTGATTCTTCCAGTATAACTTACAAACATGGACACATTTGTGATTTTTAAGCCAATAGACTGGGCTGTAAAATGAAGACATTGGAGTGTGTGTATAGAAGTCTCTTGTATTAAATTTATAGGTTTGCTCAACTGTACCCTTTCTGTATCTCTAGCAGTTTTGCCTTCCATGCCTCCAGAGTTCCTCATCAGTGCCTCTTTCTGTTATACACATTTCCACACTTTGTCTCTAATTAACTCCAGGATCCAAATGTGTAACTCTATTGGTCTTGCCCTATTAGAACTGTCATGATTTTCAGATTGTATCTGGACTCACAGACTGCTGTCTCACCAATAGGTCTGGAAGGTCATTCTGAATGAGAAGTAAATTATTTTATGTAACACATTTCTCAAGTGTGTTTTTCCATTGCATTTCCTCCTTATTTCATCACTATTTGGCATGCTGAGCTTACCTGCTCATGGTCCACGGACAGAATACTCCTTCCATGTGCATGCCTATTTTTATCATCGTGTGCTTTAGTGGCCTCAGAGTAGATACTTCCAGTGAAACACACACAACTTAATAATAAGGGTAAATAAATACTTCATGCAAAACTATCTGCTTGCAAACACATTAATGATCCACAGAGACATGTTATGAGAAATAGTAGCAGAGTGTGGGGCGAGTGTAGAAAATGGCTAATAGCCAGGTTTTTCTCTCTCCCATGCCAGCTCTGGGAGAGAAAGTGGGAAATGAGAATTGTATATGTCTTGGTTCCTGCCGCTGCTCTGTCTGCCTTTATTCACAGAACTGAGGCAGTCTTGGCTTCAGAGACTTTGCTGAGCAGATTTGGCGGCTTACTTGCAGGTCCTCAGTAAGTTCTCAAGGGATAGAGTTCACCGCCCATAGCAACAGTGGTTCTCCCTTCGTTTCCAGCCTGACTGAGAGAAGAGGGAAGCAGGAGGAGGCTGAGGAGGAGCTGGCAGGCCACAGATGCCTGATAAATGCACCCCTGCCAAAACTGTCAGAATGCTTTTCTTCCTTGACACATTCTTTTCCCTAGGAAAAACGTCACAGAACATTCACATGTACAGTCATAGGTGTCGTCGGGAGACCTCCACCACCCCTACCTCTCTCATGCTTACAAGGTGTTAGGGACAAAGGGTCTTATGCTATTTTGAGGAATAGATCCTCAAGGATCCAATGAAAACAATGAATTGTGTACTAAGAAAAATACACAAAGAAATCCAAACTCCTCATAAATATTTAAAGGAAACTCTTGCAACTCCAAAATGCACAAAGCTGCCAACATTCTCACACACTCTAGGTGTGTCAGACTCTCACAGAGAGTGTGAGGTTGCAGTTCATACAACTCAACATCAAAGAGAGAAAAAAACAACCCAACTAAAAAATAGGTTGTGGCAGAGTCCCTGTTTGGCAGAACACAACAAAATTTTGTAAAGTGATAATCTTTCAATTAAAAAATAAAGTGGCAAAAACCCCACACTCACATACACACACACGCACACACACAGTGTCTAAAATAATAAGCTGTGGATCTGAGCAGATATTCTCCAAAGAAGACATACAGATGGCCAATAGACCCATGAAAAGACGCTCAACATCACTCATGATCAAGAAGATGCACATCAAAACCATGAGAGATCACCTCACACCTGTCAAAATGGCTATTATCAAAAAGTTAACAGTTTTGGTGAGGATATGGAGAAAATGGAATCCTCATGTACTGTTGGTGGGAATGTAAATTAGTATAGCCAAAATGGAAAGCAGTATGGAGGTTTCTCAAAGAATTAAAAATGGAACTACTATACAATCCAGCAATTCCACTTTTGGGTATTTTCTAGAGAAAAAAAAAAGAAACCACTAATTTGAAAATAATGTATGAACCTCTATATTCATTGCAGCACTATTAACAATAGCCAAGATACGGAAGCAACCTAAGAGTCCATTAATGAATGAATGGATAAAGAAGATTTGGTGTATAAATACACAGTGGAATATTACTCAGACATAAGGAAGAATGAAATGTTGGCATTTGCAGCAACATGGATAGACCTAGACTTAAAGTTCTCTCTCTGTTCTGAACCACCATGTCCTCACTTTCTGTAGCTCCCAGAATAGCCTGATTTTACAGAGCCTTTTGTTTATTATATTACTGATTCCCAAACCCTTTAGAGGTCAGAATCTTGCATATCACAAGTGCCCAATTCATTTGTGTGCATGTAACACTGAACTACAGCTGACTATTCAAAAAACTGGACTTAATGGGGTACAACTATAAAAGAGTGCTTTTCTTTTTGCAGAAAACTCTCTTCAAACATACTTGTAGTTCATCTGTGCCTTGGATAAGTAAAAGAAGAGAAAGATAAATACCATATGATCTTATATATGGAACCTAAAAAACAAAGCAAATGAGCAAACATAACAAAACAGAACAGACACAGATACAGAGACCAAACATGTGGTTGCCAGAGGGGAAGGGGGAAGGGGATGAGTGAAATAGGTGAGGGAGATTAAGAGGTACAAGCTTCCAGTTACCAAATGAGTCATGGGGATGAAATACACAGTGTGGGGAATATAGTCAATAATACTGTCATATCTTTGTACAGTGACAGATCACTGTACACCAGTGATCATTTTGAAATGTACAGAAATACTACTGAATCACTATGTTATGTACCTGAAGCTAACCAAGGTCAATTACACTTCAAAAAAAAAAAACAAGGAAAGAAAGAAAAAAGGAAACATGAGACAGAGAACAGCTTTCACTCCTAGGTACTAACAAAGTCTCAGTTTTTAAGAGTAAAAAGTCCAGACTCCTTCTTGCTTCTGACTGCAGTGACAGAGCACAGAGCAACCGAACAAACCTTAAAAACAATCCTCAGTGAAAAGAATCAAAACAACTTAATACAGAGCCATTTACATTCAGGGAAAATTCATGCAAAAACAGTAATACAAAGTTTCCCAGGCCAGGACATACACAAACAAACAAACAAAATACATATGGAACTCATTATAACAGTTTTCTACGCGGAGGGCTGAGTGGAGAATGGGGACCAAAATGCATAAACAAAGAAAACAAGAAAAGCATTTTGCACAAATTAATAATGAGAATGTACCATGAACTAGGAGTCAGATTGACTCAGGCCTCTGTACTGCCCATCTCCAAGGAATATCTGGACCTCGTGAGAATCAGAGCTTCACTGCCCTTTCACGTTCAGACCTCAGGAAAAGAATGGCCAGGTTGGCTGAGGTTGGATGTGGTCAACTTCTCTAGTATTTCTCTCCTGTTGCTCTCTTCTTCTATGACTCAGAGTGATATCTCTGGTCCCCCCAGGGTTGGAGCAGTGGAGAGCAGAATGGGATAGAAAAAGTCTTATTCAACTGGGTACAACCATCAACTTTCAACGGTACCCCTGTATGCTGATTCCTCTCAAGAGAAACTTATGTACCTTCGAGGACCTGTCTCTAAAGATACATCCAAAGAATTAAACAAGACAGGTATAAAATAAAAGATTAACTTGCCTGAACCCCAGCACCTACTGCCCAAAGAATAGAAAAGCAAATACATTTACAGTTTTTGACCTAGTTGCTTTTGATCTACTGGGTTTTTTAAGAGAGTCAGCATAAGCTGGCTGTGTAATAATATAAGGATTACAATTATGGTAACCATTTAATGAACACTTGCTATAATTGTGCATGCAAGCATGTTCAGTTGTGTCCGATTCTTTGAGACTCCATGCATTGTAGCCCACCAGGCTCCTGTGTCCCTGGGATTTTCCAGGCAAGAATACTGGAGTGGGTTGCCGTTTCATCCTCCAGGGGATCTTCCTGACCCAGGGATCGAACCCACATCTCCTGCATTGCAAGCAGGCGCTTTACCACTGAGCCAGTAGGGAAGCACTTGCCACAATGGTGCTCATTTATTCCACACAAGACCCTGTGTCACAGATTCAGTCATTATCCTCGTTTCATAGAAAAAGAAACAGAATCGAAGAGCGGTCACAGAGCCAATATACAACATACTTAGATTAAAATCTTGAGATTCCTATTTCAAAATCATGCTCTTAGCCTACACACTTCATGTACATAGCAGTTGCACTTGGCAGCGGGTACAGCAGAGTAGAGGCGAGAACATTGCCCCTGGGGACACTGATCTGGCAAGAAAAGAACTGGCTGGCTTCTTCGAGAGGCCTCAAGTCACTCCGCAGTAAATGGAAAAAATAACTGCCTCTTTATCTGGTGAAGTAAGGGGAGATAAAATCACCTTCACCCTTGATTTTACTGCAAAGGAGGTGGCTAAGAACTTAATGAGGACCCGTTGTATAGCACAGGCAACCTAATCAGTGTTATGTGGCGGCCTGAACGGGAGGGGAATGTGGGCAAGATGGACCCACGCACGGCTGAGTCCTTTCCTTACGCACATTGTTAATTGTGTTAATTACGCACATTGGTTACACAGCATTGTTAATCGGCTGACTCCAACACAAAATAAAAGGTTAAAGAAAACTGAAAGGAAAATACACGGTCATATAGGTATATGTATGTGTGTGCATATGTGCTGTCGTAGCCCACCAGACTCCTCTGTCCATGGGATTTCTTAGCTAAGAATACTGAAGTTGGTTGCCATTTTTTTCTCCAGGGGAGAGATGTAATGTACAACTTGATTAATATAATTAACCCTGTTGTAGGTTATATATGGAAGTCAAAAAAAGAATGAATCCTTAGAGTTCTCATCACAAGAAAAAAATATTTTTCTTATTTTGTGTCTGTATAAGATGATGGATATTCACTAAACTTATTGTGGTAATCATTTCATAATTATGTAAGTTAAATCATTATGCTGTACACCTTAAACTTAAAACAGTGCTGGATGTCAATTATATCTCAATAAAACTGGAAGACCCTGATTTATTGAAAATGACCTATACTTAATGAGGACCCGTTGTATAGCACAGGCAACCTAATCAGTGTTATGTGGCGGCCTGAACGGGAGGGGAATGTGGGCAAGATGGACCCACGCATGGCTGAGTCCCTTCCTTACGCACCTGAAACTGTCACAGCATTGTTAATCGGCTGACTCCAACACAAAATAAAAGGTTAAAGAAAACTGGAAGGAAAATACACGATCATATAGGTATATGTATGTGTGTGCATATGTGCTGTCGTAGCCCACCAGACTCCTCTGTCCATTTCCGTTGTTCACTTAAAAAATATCATGAACAATTTCCCAAGGGTGTAGTCATCTGCCAATTATTTTTAATATAGCCTCATTAAATTCCATAGTTTGAATGTACCATATTTGATTCAAGAAGTTTTCACTTTTAATTGATAAAAATGCATGTTTTTCAATGACCTATATTAACAATATATAAATTAACAATAACAGGCATCCTTGTACTATATCCTTATATGTTGGTATCTTCTGAGATGGAGTCCCAGAAGAAAGGATCACTGAGATAAATTAAAATAAATAAATTTTTAAAATTAATTAATTAATTAGTTAAAATAATAATAAATAAAAACAGACAAAAACAAGTAAGTACATTTTAGGTATTAAAAATTCACATTCATTTGAACAGTATAAAAAATG